CCTGCTTCAACGCCTGCACTAGTTGGAGTGGTGTCAAGCTTTGGAGATAAGGAATTTGCTCTGGCTGAGACACTTGGGTACCTGATTTGTGTCTCCTGGGGTGTGGGTGCGTCCTTCAGAAGTTCAGCATGAGGAAGGTCTATGTGTGATGCATTGAGCAACGTTTCTGCCTGACATTGTGCAGGAGCCTGGAAACACTTGCTTCTTTTGTTTGTGTTGCAGACGAGATGAAGCTTATGACCGTTACCTCCGCTTTGACGACTACTACCGGCGGAAGGACGACTCCTACTACGACCGTTACAAAGAGCATTTCGATAGAGCACCAGGGGGTTCAGAAGGTGGGTACCTGGAATGTTTTAATGGGCCAACTCCCATTCTCCATCTGGAGGGGTGTGTGAGATGCCTATAGTGCTAAGTGCATTGCATCCTGTGCCAGCCCAGGCAGGTCCAAAGGGTCCATTATTGGTTCTGTCACTGCTTTCAGACCGTCTGAAGCGCGAGGAGCGGCGCCGGGAGGAGTTGTACCGGCAGTACTATGAGGAAATCAAGAGGCGTTTTGATGCAGAGAGACCTGTGGATTGTTCTGTGATAGTGGTGAATAAACAGACGAAGTAAGAAAATAGTTATGACAAATTTTATTATTGCACAGTAGAAGAAAATTGAATTAAACTTAGTCCTGCCTTGAGGCTTTTTGCCTCACGGGTTGCTTTTGAGGAGCTTGGCTTTAGACCCTCAGAAATCTAAAGCTTATGTTGCTATTTTGGGAATATATCTTGACAAGATGGGGAAATGTTGTATCTCGTGCTTTAGTGTTTTTTTTCCTTTCTGTCACCTACAACTATACCTTCTCCTAATGCTTTTATACCTAGTCTTCTTATAAACCTCCTGTCACAACAGGTTATAGTGGCTGGTACTTTTTATTTGTGGGTTGAATAATGCAGAACTTACTAGTATGTGCCAGCCAGCAGGTAGTGCAGAGCCATGGTCAAGGGAGGAGCAGGGGTTTCAGAGCTCCTGTCAGATCAGTCACTGGGCCAGGCACAGCCATTGCCCTTAATCTGATGTCCAAGGAGTGCGAATTGCTGCTGAAGGGAATCATGAGTGATACTAAAAGCCAGTGTGAGGAGCCAGGGTGATCTCCTGTGGCAGCCTCAACACTGACCGAGGTGAGGGGCACACCTCTGCCTGGGACAGTGGGAGAAGGGCTGTAGTGATGGCTCCAGGCTGTTGTCTAGATCTTCATAAATAAACATACTGAGGAATAGCAAGTATGTAAAGAAATCTTAGATCTGGCTTGGAGGTTGAAGAAAATGTCAAGGAGAAATTTAAAGCTGTCTCCTTAGCCTGTTGGAAAAAAGGTCAGGAGTTTCTTTTATTTAACATTGCTCTATCTGTGAGGCAGAGAGAGAGAACTGGTGCTTGCCTGGTCTGGGGTACAGGACAGGAAATTGGATCAAGGGAAAGTAGTGAAACTAGAAATGAACTTCTGTGGTTTGCTTTTAATGGAGTTGGTTCCCTGTTGGAAGGAATCTTGAAAGGAAATGTTTGAGTCTTTGTCCCTTGGTGACTAAAAGTCTTTGGAAGACAGTCTAATAGACCATGAATTATTGTACTTGATACAGGGAGAATATTTTTGTGCAAGAGGATCCATTTAATATCCTAAGGATTGTTTTAGTCTGTAGCAGCTACAAGCCTTAAGAGCTGGAGCATGTTAATCAATCCTGGGTGTTGAAGTGCTGGTGTCACCTAGTGTAGACATGTTGAAAGATGACTCCTGGATGACTTAGATACACCATCGGAGAAAGTTAGAAATCCCTGGAAAGGCAGTTGGCAGGGGGACAAGGTCCAGTCACCACTGCAGTGTTAACACCTGAGGATGACGAACAGGATCCCTCTGGGAAGGTGCAGCAGTCATAGCTGTGGCTCTGGCACGAAGCTTGCAGAGAGCCTTGGGAATTCCAGCACAGCCGTGTGAGCCATGGCTTGTGCTTGGGGTGGGAAGGCTGCAGAACAGCAGAGACACAGGTGCTGTGCTGCCACTGGGTCAGGGCAGAAAGCAGCTGCTGGAAGGAAAGAGCCAGACAGTGAGAAATGAGGCATATTTGGGCAGTTCAGGTACTGAACATAATACAAGGAGCTGACTTCTGTAGGTTGGCTGCTCTGCTGGGTACCACTTAAATCCCTGCATGCATAAATTGCCTCACTTAATTACTTCAGTTTAAACACATTTGTCTGTAAATAAATATATAGTTGTGTAAATCTCCTTGTAAACACTGTTCCTCAGCTAAGCTAAGGCTTCCTTTGTAGTTTATTTTAGTTAAACTGAAATATCTGATTCAGATAAAAATAAGGGCTTTTATGTGATTGTGATGAGATTACTACTGTCCTGTTAAACATGAGCAAGTTGGGCAAGCTGTCAGAACGGCGAGTCTGAGCAACGGGAAGGGTGAATGTCCTGGGTGTCCATTTCTGTACGTGACTGACTTGTCCAACTCTGCTGTCTCTGCTTTGTGTTAGGGAGTATGCCGAGTCCGTGGGGCGGAAGGTGCGGGATCTGGGAATGGTAGTGGACCTGATCTTCCTCAACACTGAGATGTCCCTGACACAAGCCCTGGATGATGTGAGCAGAGGAGGGTCTCCTTTTGCCATAGTCATCACCCAGCAGCATCAAGTTCACCGCTCTTGCACTGTTAACATCATGTTTGGCACCCCACAAGGTACTGAAGTCTTGGCAGGCTGGGCGGCCACTGGCCTGCTCCAGGCACTCCTTTAGAATGCTCTTTCAAGCAGAACCACAAATCCGGACAGAGTTCATTCTTCCTTAGCCATAAGTAGTTATTAATGACTTGACATCATGTCATAAATGTGAATATAATTCTTTTCAAGCTTCTGTAATACTTTGTTAGCCCCTTGTCAAAAGAACTGTCTAATTTCTGCCAAGAGGGAATCTCAGCTGTGTTTTTAGCACCTGACACAACCAGCCTTTTGTAGGGCAAGTTGTGAACCCCAGCTCTAGAAATGACTGCATTGCCTTGGCAGATTTCTGAGCAGCACCAGGCCAGCCTCAGTTTATCACTTATTGCACTCAAAATGTTTGGAATGTGACAAATTACAGGACAATTTGTAAACTCAAATGGGCTTTAAGGGGAATGGAGCAAGGGTAGTGTCAAGGTGAAGATCTGTTCATGAAACTGGGAAGAATTATAACAAGATAGGACTGCAAAGTGACTACATACATGTGCTCCACCTTTTTAGTAGCGTTTACACTTGTCACATCACTTTCCATCTTAGGATGTGACTTGGTTGTGAGCATGAGGGTGGGTGCACATATTAAACAAAGGTCTTGTCAGAACGTGGTCTCTCAGTCTTTGCTCTGATCATAGGCGTCTTCCCACACTGTATTTGCACAGCTGGCTTGTTTAATCATGGTTGAGCTCTCAAAGCTCATTTATCCCGTATTGTGTCCTCAGGTAATGTTTTGTGAGGTTCATCTAGGGAAGCAAACTTGTGGATACCCAGTCCCTGGTTTTCCTGTACTTACTGGCTGCAGAAGCCCAGGGTTTTTTTCAGTGCAGCTGTGAGAGGAGAGTTCTCATTTTCTGCAGAAATGTAGCTCACACATATGTTCACTGGGCTTTCCACTGCCCTGGGTTTTAACTATTCACTCCTTTGCTTTAACACTCATCCTCCTGCCAAAGCTTCTGTTCTTTATGGGACCTAATGGTGTATCAGATCCCATAGGAACCGCAGTCGTGAGCTCATCCATGGCTCTGCCTGGAGGTTAAGTGCTGTCACACGAACCACACACAGTCACCTTTCTCTTCACCTTGGTTTCAGGGAACTCACACAACTCGTGCAAAGGGTAGTGTTAAAATAAGCCCCGGTTTCTTGTCACGAGAAAGAGGTGGCAGGGTTGGATGGATGAAAGTGTGCAAAGTGCCCAGGGCTTAGGGCACTTCAGGAAGGTAGAGGCTTCTTTGATCTCCCTGCCTAAACCTGTGTTTAGGGGAGCTATTGTGTTTTTGCTTTGGGAGGTGGAAGTAACCACCTCAGAAACTTTAAAAGGCAACTGCAAAAAAAACCCAAAAGGTTGCAACTGACCATCAGTCCTTGTATTATAGAGAAGTTACTTGCCTAAAGCAGTAAACATAAGCAGTAATGTGACAGTGAGCCAGTGCTGTTGTCCTCCCCATCTCCTTCATGTACACACAGGGTGTTAAGGCATTGACAGTGCAGAACCAAAAGTATTTCATGGCTGCCCTACTCTGGGGAGCTTTAGCAGCCATCAGAGGGCAGGGTTTGGGAATGTTCAAGGCTTTAGCAGTAGAACTGCTGGAACGGCCTTGGAGGATTTCTGTGAGAGATAGAGGGAGCTGCTTTCTCTTTGAATGGGTGAGAGGCGAGACGAACATTTCTTGGGCCGATACACGCTCTTCTCCAAGCCCTCACCTATGGATGAAAAGCCTTGCTGCATGATAGCCTGGAGCCTTCTGCTGGCTTGGGAAAGGGGACTGTCACTGTATGCCTCGGGAGTGTCCCAAGCCTGCGCCTACAGCCCCTCAGCAGTGCCTGCCTGCTGAATGAGATCTGCTGGCGTGTGTGAGGCAGGGCACACCCTCTTAATGGCACTTAAAGCATTTCTTTTCCTTGTCCAGAGCACCGCAACATGCCCCAAGCTGATGCCATGGTGCTGGTGGCGAGGAATTATGAGCGCTACAAAACAGAGTCACGGGAGAAGGAGCGGGAGGAGATCGCCCGGCAGGCTGCCAAGATGGCAGATGAGGCCGTTCTGCAGGAGCGGGAGCGCCCACCCCCTGTGGAGGAGGGTGTCAGGGGAGGGCACCCTCCAGGCATCCAGACTCTCTTGAACCTGCTGGCAGACAATCGCTATCTAAGTGCGGAGGAGATTGATAAAGTAATTAATTACCTGAGGGACCGGAAGGAGCGGTTGCTGAGGGGCAGCGCTGATGCTCTGCAGGGTGAGTTTCTTGACCCCAGCAATGCTGTTAATCACAGGGTTTGTGGGCTGGGACCCAAAAACAGTCCTGGAATTGCAGGGGAGTCCTCGGGCTGTCACCTCCTCACACAGCACCTCCATTCACTGAGATGGATGTGTCCTTGGGTGTCCTGACACAATTCAGATATTTAATGTGAAAGGACTTTTATACTGGACTCTGCCAGGGAAGGACAGGACTGCCTACACTGGTTTGGTAACTACAGGGAGAGCAGCAGTTCTGCTGAGTGCCTTGGGTTCTCCAGAGCTTGGCAGCCCTCCTGTTCAGAGGGTTGTGTCTTTGGTAGTTGTTTCGCTAGTTTTCTTTAGGTGCCCTTTCAAGGGCATTTGCAAAGCTTTAACCCTCTTTCCTTTCTTTCCCAGCACCCATGTCAAGACAGTCTTTGGGGGCACCTTCAGGATCATCTCTTGGTAGTCAGGCCAGCCTTCCAAACTCTCAGGCTCATCAGGGTTCACAGCCTCTGGTCTCTGCACCTTCTGTTCCAGTGTCCTCTTCTAATCCTCAGCAGGAGCTTCAAGCAAAAATCCTCAGTCTCTTCAACAGCGGGGCAGCAGCAGCTGCTGCAGCAAACAGCAGCTCTGCACCCTCTGCAGGCACTTCAGGCAGCACTCCCACCCAGAACTTTGCTAACATGGCTGGTGGTCAGGCCCGAGCAGCACAGATGGGTGCTGGAAATTTAAACCAGGCTCCGCAGAGATTGCAGGCTCCAAGCACACAGCTTCCTGCTCTCCAAGGCCCATCAAGAAATGCAGGTCCAAGACCTGGAGCTCCTCCACAAGCTCAGTCATTCTATGGTCAGCATCAAAATCGCCTCCCTGCACCTGGCAGTGTACCTGCTCAAAGGCCAGTATCTTCTGGTATCAACTTTGACAACCCTAGTGTACAGAAAGCCTTGGACACCCTTATCCAGAGTGGTCCTGCACTGTCCCACCTAGTGAGCCAGACAGTGGCCCAGGGGAGACCAGGGTCCTCAGCCCAGCAACCCATGGGTTCCTACCAGCGACACTATTAGAATGGAGCTGTCAGGCCCTTTCCCCTCCCATTGCCATTCCGTACTTACAGCTGTTGAAAGTCTCCTGACCTCACAGGAGAAGGGTCCCTGGACCTGCATGTCCTCTCCACTTTGGCAGGAGCCCAGTGGCCTCGCTGCCGGCTGCTCCTCGCGCTGCCCTTCCTGGCCCCGCTCTGGTCCGTGGTGTTTGGAGACGCGCGCTCCGCGGCAGGACGTGCCGGGAGCCGCTTTGGGTCATCGGTTGTTTTGTCCAGTCCCAGAAGCTGCTGCAGTGACAGTCCCCAGGCCTTCTCCTCACCCCAGTGCCTGGTGCACCTCCTCACTGCAGCACAGTCTGGTCTCACTGAATGCTCTTAGTACGGTTTGTGTCAGTGGTGAGGAAATGAACTGGGACAGAGCAGGACCCTGACGGGGCACTCGAGACCCACCTTCGTGGAACGGGAGCTGTTCTTCTTTGTTTTGTTTTTAATTTGGTTCGTTGGTTTGGGGTTTTTTTAATGGTTTATAAGCCAGTTGGAAAGTGCAGTGGTAGCACTAGCAGCCAAACTTAAAGCACATTCCTGACTGCTGCTCTGCAACCCAGGACCGTGCTGGTGGGTCCTTCCACAGCTTGAATGTGGTGTCCTGGCAGAGGGAGGCACAGGAACCTCACCTTGCCCAGCTGTGGAAACCAGCAGCTTTGGTGCAGATATTGTGGCAGGTCTGAAACACAAGAGCTTCCAGCCAAGGCACAGATTTCAGTCTGTCAGTTTTTCTACACCAAGCAGTCAGTGTTAAGATCAATCTGTTAAATTGGATATTTAAATTTCCTTCTTTTACAATCTTGCATTGAGAGGGTTGGTTGCTGTGCTGGTGAGCTCCTGGCCCTCCCTTGGGAATACCTGCAGCCAGGTATCAGGTGGCAAACATGAATGTGCTCTGAAGCTTCATATTGTTGATGGTGTTCTGTCCATCTAAGGTGGAGAGACAGTGCCAAAATGCAATACTATAATTTTATACAATTTTTCCACACTTTGATAGCTACAGTGAACTGTTGAGTGGAAAATCAGGCAGTGATTCTTCACCATGTTTTTAACCAGTAACATACTTTGATACCAGAACACAGAACCTTTCCTAACTGTGTGGTCCTCCCCATCATGGCCTTGGAGTCTGTAGGCTTCCTGCAGAGAGCCGAAAGCAGCTGAGAAAGCAGTGTTCTTGGAGCAGAGGATTGTCTTTGTCCCAGGTGGTTTGTGTTGTAGCATTTTTTTTCTTTCTGTGCTGTTAACAAGAGGACATTACTTTTTAATAAAAAGGCAGAAAAAACGTTTCGTTGCATTTTTTGACACTTGGCAGCTGGACTGTTACTGGAATACACTGTTCCACTGTGTTTGCCATTCCTTTCTCCTTCCAGGTGAGCTGTGTCCTGCCCAGCCCTGGGTCAAACCTTTCTGTCAGCTGGGAGGATGCTGTGAATAGTCTCTGTGTAGAACACTTGGAAGGACTTCACAGACACTGATTCTCATGCAGTGGATGTGGATCTGGGGCAGAGCAGTCCATGTGCTGAAGCAGCATGTGGCAGGGCCAGTGGGGGGGTGGCTGAGGCCTCTGGGGGTGGAAAGGGAGGGTGCACCTGGCCAGTAGTGAGCAGCTCCCTAGTTGAGGGTCCTGTGGCAATTGCTGTGGGGAGCTGGGGCTGCATGTGCTGCTGGTACTATGCAACCTGAAATGGGATGGAAGCATGTCTGTTTTCCATCCTTTCCCCTCCAGCCTCCCTTTGTGATACCCCATTCTCCATCTCTACAACCCCACACGCAGGTGAAGCACCTCTGCTGGGGTGATCAGAAATTTGCGGAGCTCCAACACGGGAGCTGTGCACTTGGGAGGGTCTGTTCCTCTCCTGATGTCCTGCTGCTCCCTGTTGGGGCTTGTTCAGAGTTACAGAAGTGGCAGCAGTCAAGTGTAAAGTATCTGATGACCCTGGAAGCAAGTGAAAACTCCCCGTGCAAGCAGTGAAGGGTGTAATAAAATCATTTATTGCATTTTGTGCAGACAGGAGTCTAGAAAAATGAATACAGGTAAAGCAGTAAAGCATTAACGGAGCATTCAACAGCTGAGGAGCCACTCCTCCATTAATACCTGCACAGAGAACACGGGGTCTGTACTGAGGCGGCCTAATGCACGATACTGAAACACAAATTAAATGCAAGCCTAATTTTTTTGTTTGTTTTGTTTGTTTGCAACCTGTTTTATTTACAAGGTTTTAAACTTAATTGCATTGCTCTGCACACATTGTTTAGAACACAAAGCATACTAGGTCACTACATGTCTACTGAAATATTGCACTCGAATAAAAGTCACTTGAATGGACGTAGAACATCTAGCTACAGTGAGTAAAAGATTATTGAATGAACTGACTTTGTGGTAACATTCAGAACAAATATATTGCACATGTAGCACAGAAAGTGTTGTAACCAGCAAATCTCAGACCTGGCGGTCGTTCTGCTAGTTTTTAGTCCTGCTACACAGAGGAGGGTCTTGACTCTTCTAGTACAACTCCTACCCTTGTGCAGTACCTTCTCTCGTCCAGCCCAGGCTGGGCACTGCCCCTGCCCCCTGCAAGTGCTGCCTGGTGGCCTCTTGCCTGTCCCTGGGGTGGCTGTGGCCATGTGAGCTGCTGGGTCCTGCTGTGGGGCCTGCAGGGACACGGCGGCGCCCGTGGCAGGACCAGCACCCGCCACCGCTGCCCCACG